ACTGTGGTGTAACGCGAGTAGCCGTCAACGACCAACAAGAAGTAATGCTCGTGACCCTGGAGGAAGAGGAGGGAGGGACCGGGGGAGACCAGAGACAAGGACACGGGAGGCCATGCCTCGGAGATGAGGTAGGGAGGGGTGACCAAGGCGGTGGTGCCAAAGGAGAGTCTGGTGAGACAGGAGACGACACGAGCAGGGAGCAGACTCAGGACCAGACCTGGACGCTGCAGAAAACACCTGACCCGACGCAGCTACCTGACCAGACGCACCAGCAGGAGGAGAATCAATAGTCAGTATGTACAGGCTCGACCACGGCTGACGGGTAAACGTGGCCAAGTGTTGGCCTGTGCGAACACACTTGTAGAGGGTCACTCGCTGACTCGCAAGAGTGAACTGGTCAACCCCCCCATCCTGTAGATCAACACCACTCACCAAGTTCGTAGAGAACGAGAGGAGGTAAAGACCTGACAGGGTGCCAAAAAGGGCCGCCGGACACGGTAAGATAGTGGAGAAGTGAGCAAGGACAGGACCCCCAGAGGGGTGTGCCAGAGAGACTGCAACCGGCCAACAAAGTGGTTTGAGTGTGGTGCGGTCTCGAAAGAAGGAGTGTGAAGCACCCGAGTCAAGGGTGAAGGTGTGCAAGGCCTGAGCCGACGTGGTACCTGAGAGAGCAGACTCACCAGCACCTGGGGGAACAGACTCATCAGCACCTGGAGTAGCAGACGCACTAGCACCTAGAGCAGCAGCCTCACCAGCACCTATAGCAGCAGCCTCAATGCCCGGGTCACGCGGAACACACAGGTAACAGTCACCCTCATCATTAGTAGACACAACATACATGGCAGCAAGAATAGCATCATAATCAAGATCAAAGATAGCAACCCTCGACCTAAGCAGCTCGCCCCAGCGAGGGATCTCAGTGGTGTGAGGGAACTGGAGATGCCAGGCGTCCGTCAGGCGGCCGAAGCAGCGCTGGGTGGTGTGCGGGCCACCGCATGGCTCACCAGTGCGGTGGCCGGTACGCAAGACGTAGGAACAGAGACGAGCAACCCCACCCCGCTGACGCCCAGCGTACCACTCACGAAGCTGCTGGGGGGGCGGGGTCTCACGAGTGCGCTGCTGCTGCTTGCGCTGACCACCACCGAAGCGGCCCCGCTGCACAGCGCCACCCTAACCAGCTCCACCGCCGCCGCCGCCACCGCCTCCTCCTCCGCTCCCACCGCCACCGCCGCCGCCGCCTCCGCCTCCACCACTTCCACCGAAGCCCCCACCCCAGCCACCACTCCCACCGCCACCCCCACCCCCTCCGCCGCCTCCACCGCCACCTCCACCGCCCCCGCCAGCCCCTTCAGCGCCCTTGCCCCCCTTGCCCTTGCTGTTGCGGCATCTCTCTCTAGGGGCAGACACAACGCCGACCGACTCGGTGCCAACGAGGTCAACCGCATCAACAGAAGCAACAAAGGGCAAAAGGGGGGAGAAGGATCACCCCTCAAAGAAGGGGGTACGAGGGTCACCACGAGAGGCTCCTATAGCGACTATACTCTTCTCAGCTGCCAGGAGGCGCTCCTCGAGGAGGTCAACGGTATGTGTGGTGCGCGCGCTCAGTGGACGACAAGTGACTACGCACAGCAAGACGGGCAGCAGCATCGCGTACGGCCCACTGTGAGCGAACAATGCTGTCAGACGTGCAGGGGCAGTAGACGCGCCAGACGTGAGATCGAACAGTGAGAGACCGTCTTTCCTATCGCACTGTAGGAAAAGCTGCAGATCATCGACCCAGACCTCAAAGTCGACAGCCCGACCCTCAGCATCAAAGGTGAGAACACTAGGGGTAGCCATGACAGCAGCAGCAGTAGGCTAGCAATAGCAGTGGGAGGCTAGGAGCAGCTCAGTAGCAGAGGTGCGCCTCGCCGGTGCTCTTACCAGGGCGGGTGGGTAGAGGTCCGCAAGTGGTGGGGCAGGGCCGAGGCGCGCCGGCAGGGACAGGGCGGCAGAGGAGAGCCGCGCCTCAGCTGCAAGGCAGGGCTGGGACGGCTGCGGCTGCTGTCACGGCAGCGGCGGCGGCGGCTCTCACGGCAGCGGCGGCGGCGGTTGCTGCTGTCGGCGGCGGCAGCAGCTGTTGCTGTCAGCGGCGGCGGCTGCGGCCCCGGTTGCGGCGGCTGCGGCCCCGGCTGCGGCGGCGGCGGCGGGTGCGGCCCCGGCAGCGGCGGGTGCGGCCCCGGCAGCGGCGGCTGCGGCTGTCACGGCAGCGGCGGTGGCGGCTGGTGCCGTCGGCGGCGGTGGCGGCTGCGGCCCCGGCAGCGACGACGGCGGCTGTCACATCGCGACGGCAGCTGCTGTTGGGGCGGCGACGGCGGGGCGGCAGGGCCGGGAAGAGCCGTGGAGGGGCCGTGAAAGGGCCGCGACGAGCCACGAAGGGGCCGCGACGAGCCGCGAATGAGCCGCGGAGGGGCCGTGAAGGAGCCGCGAAGGGCCGCGAAGGGCCGTGGAGGAGCCGCAAAGGGGCCGCTGAGGGCGGTGAAGGGGCCGAGAAGGGGCCGCGAAGGGCCGTGAAGGGGCCGTGAAGGGCGGCGACGGGGCCGAGAAGGGTCGCGAGGGGCTGCGAAGGGCGGGGACGGGGCCGAGAAGGGGCCGCGAGGGGCCACGAAGGGGCCAAGAGGGGCCGCGAAGAGCGGCGAAGGGGCCGCGAGGGGCCGCGAGGGGCCGCGAAGGGCCGTGAGAAGGGGCGCTAAGGGCCGCGGAGGGGCCGCGAGGGAGCCGCGAAGGGGCCGCGAAGGGCCGTGAGAGGGGCCGCGACGGGGCCTTAAGAGGGCGCGACGGGCCGCTAAGAGCAGGGGACGCGACGGGAGGGCAGGCACTTGGGGGGCGACTACGGCAGGGGCGAAGCGCGCTCCGGGCATGTAAAAAAAAAAAATCGATTTCGTGGTGGGCCCTAGGAAACGTTCCCACTAGGGAACCTGCTCTATACCATGTGAAGAGAATGAGGAATGATGGACTAGGAAACGAGTTGGGTACAAATATGTAACCCTAGAAAACAGTATCCCATACTGTCTACCCCACTATAGCCTAGAAACACTGTAGCATAAAGTTTGATAGCCTTTTTCCAAACTTTTCGGTGGTTTGAAGAACAACTTCCGTCCCACACTGTGCCGCTCTGCCGAAAATCGCCCACGATGCACCCTCCTGCAGCAACACCTGCCGCACCCAGGCGGGACGACGGTAGAGCCCCGCTTTCTTCGGGCAGTCGCCACGCCGCCTCTTTTCGCCGTCGGTACGCAAATCACACATTGCGCCTGGCTGCTCGACCAGCAGTCGTTTTCCACGTGCTGCTACCCAAAATCTTCGCGCGCAGTGACACCGTATGTCACTTGCCGAAGACGTCCAACAGCTTGTGCACAACGTAACGAAGACGCCACAACGCCACTTGCCGCAAAAGCTGTTCCGATTTTATCGCGCGCAGTTGTAGACCACGTGCCGACGCAACTCGCACCACTTACAAACGGCTGCTGCTGTACGCGGTGTTGCAGGCAGGGCTGACGTTTCAAATTTAGGTACCCTGAGTTCAACCTAAATATTTCTTTTTAACCCTGAAGGCACATTTTCCAGAAAAACAGCACCCTGATTGCTCAGGGTTGAGAAGTAGTGAACTCTGAATGTTCAGGGTCGAGAATTAAAAATCAGGGTCGTAGTAACGCGCTCTTTCTTTACCGAGGACAGAAGTCTCACTCTGCATAATCGCAACATATGCGCGAAATCTGAGTCTACAGAGATTTCAGGCAGAATCTGCCTTGACCTAGCGAATCGAGTCTGTGTCAGAGCACAATTATTTCGACCAATAACAGCAAACAAAATCTGAAATTACAGATTCGCCCTATCTCGATTGTGGGTGTATGGGAAACAAAATTCGACGAAACTTCGTCCTCATAAAGCGAGGGGTGGCGGTTGGGGAGGGGGATTACGCATGTGGGGGGTACTGCGATCAATCCGAAGGCGGGGTTATCAGGAGGAAATTTTCGAGAAACTTTGTCCCGATAACATCGCATTCAGGGTCCACATGCCGCGTACTCTGTATTGACAGGGTCCGTGAAAACACTTCACTGAGAGTGTACACAAAAATTCAGGGTCCGCTAAAGCAATACTCTGAATGGATCAGGGACCAAAATGTAAAAAACCTGATTTCTCAGGGACCAGAAAGTGACAAGTCTGAAATCACCCTGAAATCAGGGTAATTACCCTGATATCGTCAGCCCTGGTTGCAGGGTGCGATAAGGAATATAGAGAAAATTCCTTACAAGTAGTAAGAAAATGAATTTTCCTTAAAATGTACCTTTCATAACACCAGCAAAATGTTTGTCATCAGAGGCAACTGGGATGTCAGAAGGACGTGGCGAGACGTCAGCACTTGTTGCGCAGTCATTCACGCTCAGACATGTGGCATCAGTTGAACTGGCAACGACGCGGGTCGGAGTGCCAATGGTCACACTTCCCTCGCATCACCTCATCCCGCTTCCCCGGGCTTCGCCGTCCACTCGCCCACCCCACCCCCGCACAGCGGTTGTTCCCCTCGTGTCGTTTGAATGTTTGATGGCTTCCCCTCGTCCCTGCGCCCATCCCCCCCTCCCGACTTGCTTCCACAATTCTCCCGGGCCACGCGAATTATCCTCGCCAGAATTCGTTCACACTGAAGCTTCCCCCGCCGACGCAACTTCAACGAGTAACCCGTCTCAAAAAATAGTCTGCGTTTTGGGGTCTCCGCACATCCCATCCGCGCAGTTCACTACTACTCACTTCCAACTCCCAGGCCACGTCATAACTCGACATTCGAGTCAACAACACGCAGAATAATTCCAGTTCTTCCTATTCGTGACCATCATCGTCAATCGTCGTTACCGCCATCTTTCGGTCGCCACAGATTCCGCCACAGCGGATAATCGAATCGAACAATACAAGCCCACCATAACTTTCGTCTCCACCACCTTCGCCTGCCAATTTCGACGCCCATGGCGTCCTCAGGCTCGACTCCCCTTCCTCCAAGCCAACCCTCGTCGGTTCCTCCGCTCGCCGCGCTCGCGCTCCCGCATCTCACCGCCGCGGGCCTCTCCCAACAGCGCTCCGAGCCGTTCCTCCGTGCCCTCAACGCCGTAGTCCAGTCCTGCGCAGCAAACGGCCTCTCAATTCCCGCCACGTGGCAGCACGTGGCGTGTTCGCTGCTGCGGCCCGACGTGCCGTTCCCCGTGCACGAGCTGCTCTACTCGTCGGCCTTCGCCACGTGGCGCGAGCGCGCGCTCGGACCGCCCCCAGTGTGGACGCCGACGCGGTACTAAGCGATGGCTCGCTGGGCGCGGATGGCGCTTGTGCAGCATCGAGTTCCTGGATGCCCATCGATGCCCATCGCCTCTCGTCTCCCAGCGTCGACTTGACTTGTTACCCCTCCCGTCCTCCCTCAACACCTCCCCACCTCCCTCCCCCGCTTCCCCCGCTCATAGCACCAGTTTTCGCTAAGGGCTTTACGCGTGGCCGGCGCGAGCACTTCGTCTGAAACGCCTTCTGCCTTGCTTCTCACCCTCTTCCTCTCTTCTCCCTCGTTTCCCCCGTCCTCGGCCCACCGCTCATGCAGGGAGGAGGCGCGGCAAACCAATTTAGGCCGCCTGCTGGGCAGCAGCGAGGGCAGGAAGCTTCTTGGAAAGGCGCCTCACGAGCCTCTGGACCTGCCGGGTAACTTCTTGCAGCTGCAGCGACTGTCGTACGGCCGGCCAGAGGTGGGTGACGCCAGCAGGGGGTGTGTGACGTCAGTGAGAAACAGGTGACGCCATTAAAGGGTGAGAGACGACAGAGTCCAGCGAATGATGTAAGGCCCGGGGAGATGAGGACGAGGATCGGTGTGGACCACACGAGGCAAGGCGTTGTTTGACTCACTCTCCCCTCTCTGCCCCTCTCTCTGCCCCTCTGTGCCCCTCTGTACCCTTCTCCTTCCCCACATTTCCCCCGTGCTCCAGCTGTACTGGCCAATCGTTCTCCGCCACCTGGGCATCATCTTCCGCAAACCCCCTCAGAAGATCTTCTCCCTGCCCGAGGATCCCAAGGAACGTTTGCAGCTGCCCGGAGGGCGCTGGTTGGTCGGGGCAGAGCTGAACATTGCAGAGAGTTGCTTGGGCGGTTTTGGCAGAAGGGGGAGAGGGAATGGGGGGGAGAGTGTGGGGGAAGCAAGGGGGGAGCGGGAGGGAGAGAGGGTGGCGGTGGTGTGGCGGGATGAGTGGGAGGAGGGGGCACCTGTGCGGCACATGACCATTGGCGAGCTGAGGCAACAAGCAATGTGAGTGGACGGATGAGAGCTGGGAAGATGCTACTCTCTCTGGGACGGTTTTTTTTTCTTCTCCCCCTCACCTTCCCCCTCCCCCCCCCCCCCCTCCCCCCCTGCGCCTGACAGTCATTTACCCCCTTCTCCCAACACTATCCTCTCACCCCGTCACCCCTCTCGCCCACTCATAACAGGTGTGTAGCATCCACCCACACAACCGTTTCCAACTCCTCTCAACCACTCTCTCTCCCATCACACCCAGCTCGGTCGCCCAGTCCCTACAAGCACGCGGCATCCGCCCAGGCGAGCCGATATCACTGGCGCTGCCCATGACGGTGCCCTCACTGGCGGCGTACCTGGGCGTGCTGCTGTTGGTGAGTGCAGCTGTGGTGGTACCCAGCGCTGATACTTCCTCTCAACCACCCTCTTCCCGTCCCACCCAGTGCCGTCGCCCAATCCCTACAAGCACGCGGCGTCCGTCCAGGCGAAGCCATAGCACTGGCGCTGCCCATGACGGTGCAGTCAGTGGCGGCCTACCTGGGCGTGCTGCTGATTGGTGCGGCCGTGGTGTCCATCGCTGACAGCTTCTCTGCTCGCGAGATTGCTGCCCGCTTGAAGATTGCCGGGGCTACGGCGATTGTCACACAGGTGAGTGGAGCGAGGAGCGAGGAGTGTGGGCACTGACGCTGACGGTGGCAGGAAGGCAGGCTTGGGCGTGCTGCTGCTGGGCGCGCCTGCTGTGTCCATTCCATTCGTGACAGCTTCTCTGCACACCAACGAAATGGCTGCTCGCTTGAAGATTGCGGAAGCCAAGGCGATCGTCACACAGGTGGGTTGGGCGAGGTGCACACAGGTGGGTTGGGCGAGGTGCACACAGGTGGGTTGGGCGAGGTGCACACAGGTGGGGCGAATGAGGGTCATGGCCGCACGGGTGACAGAGGAGCCACGGATGCACAGGGGAATGACAGGTGGGCGTGACTGAGTGGGGTTGGGGGATGCAGCTTGGCTGCAGGAGGGGTGGTTGGGGATGGTGGGCAGTCTGGAGGATGAATCAGCAGGCACGGCAGGGGTGAGTGGGGCTGCTGCTGGCTGGAAAGCCCCGTGACCACTTTCCATCCGTCTCTCCTTCCCTGCTCAAACCCCCAACTACATCGTTCTCTGCTCCTCTTCCTCCCTGTGCGTCCTTCTCGGTATTTTACCTTGCAGGACTTCATTCCGCGTGGCGGAAAGCTGCTGCCACTCTACAGGTAGGTACCGCCGTGCCTGCTGCACGCAAACCCTCTCCTCTCTGCCACTGCTCTGCTACAGCCCACCTTCCTGCGCCCGCTCCTCGCTCCTCACCCTTCCCCCCTCCCCCCTCGCTGGCCGCCATGCTGTCTGCCCCCCACCACTCGTTCCTTTCCCGTTGCCCCTCCTCGTCCCTCCTCCCTCCACTTGCCCCTCATTGTCACGCCCAGCCGGGTGGTGGAGGCGGGTGCGCCGCCCGCCATTGTGCTGCCAGCCACTGAGGGAGCGCCACGTGTCGCGTTGAGAGAGGGCGACGTGTGGTGGAGCAGCTTTCTGGCTGAGGGGCAGCGCTCAACAGAGAGAGGCACCAGCAGGTGCACTGCGGTGCTGGCCGGTGATGGGATGAGCACACGCACACTGATGAAGTCTTGGCTGCATGCGTCTCTTGGACTCGCTGTGTTTTTTTTCCACAAATTTTTAGACGCCTCAAAAGTCGTCTCTTGACTCGCTGTGTGTTCCCCAGAGCTGCCGTCCAGCACCTCTCATCTCATTCCCTGCGCTGGCCACCTGAGGGCTCAACGTGCATGCGCTCCACCCTCCCTGCTGCGTGCCTCCCATCTCCGCCACTCACAGCGTGCCATGTGTCAGCATGCCAGTGGACGCCAGCATCAACATTCTCTTCTCGTCCGGCACCACTGGTGGGTGCTGCCTGCTGTGATGGGTCAAGGGTGAAGGGTGCGGCTGGGTGGTGGGTAGGTGGTATGGTATAGCTCCACGTGTTGTGCCATCATGTTCGCCCCTATGTTGCACACACATGGCATGACACCTGACAAGCTCCTCTATGTTCAGCCTGGCATGCGGGCTTCATGCTCGTATAGCAGCCATTGCAGCCATCACAGCCATCACACAGCTTTGCTGCTCTTGCTCGTCTGCCACCCATTCGCCGTCTGCTGCACCATTCTCCCATAAAGCCCCGCCATGCCACTGTATGGCGCACGGCCCCTCACAATCATCCATGCATGCATGCATGCGTGCAGGCACCCCCAAGGCCATCCCGTGGTCGGCCCTGGCGGCCATCAAGGCGGCTGCAGACGCGTGGGCGCACCACGACCTCAGGGGCGTGCGACGCGGCACACAGGGGCCAGAGAGGCGCGAGGGGGCGCATTATGGCAGCTCACAGAAGCAGCAGCAGCAGCAACGGGGGGAAGCAGGCGACGTGGTGTGCTGGCCCACGAGTCTGGGGTGGATGATGGGCCCCTGGCTGCTCTTCGCGGCTCTGCTCAACGGTGCTACTGTAGCTCTCTACAACGGCTCGCCTCTCACCCACGGATTTGCACGTTTCGTGCAGGTGGGCGTGGGGTTTGCAGGTGGAGGTGGGGCGTGCGTTTGGGGCTGGGGTGCTTGCAGTGCTTGCTTGGTGTGGGGACTGAACAGGGTGGGTCATGGAATGGGCGATAGAAGAGAGCAGGGGCAGCAAAGGGAGCGCAGGGCAGAAGGTGAGGTGTGGGTGAGGTGTGGGTGAGGTGTGGGTGAGGTGTGGGTGAGGTGTGGGTGAGGTGTGGGTGAGGTGTGGGTGAGGTGTGGGTGAGGTGTGGGTGAGGTGTGGGTGAGGTGTGGGTGAGGTGTGGGTGAGGTGTGGGTGAGGTGTGGGTGAGGTGTGGGTGAGGTGTGGGTGAGGTGTGGGTGAGGTGTGGGTGAGGTGTGGGTGAGGTGTGGGTGAGGTGTGGGTGAGTTGTGCCCTATTAGCTCCATTGGTACAACGCAACTCACCCCACGTAAACCCCATTGCCAACACCCCCTTCTCACCCCTTCTCCATCATTCTCCCTGCATTCATCCCCCCCCAACCCTTTCTCTCCTACCATGCACGTCTGTGAGGGGCAGGATGCGAGGGTGACGGTGTTGGGGGTGGTTCCCACCTTCCAACACCCTTCTCGCCCCTTCTCTTCCACCCCCCCTGCTCCCACTCCCCTACTCTCCCCCTACCATGCACGTCTGTCACGGAGCAGGATGCACGTGTGACGGTGTTGGGGGTGGTGCCCAGCCTCGTGCGCTCCTGGAAGGCCTCTGGCTGCACCGACGCCTGTGATTGGTCGCACATACGGTGAGTGATTTTTGTTTGGTCCCCCGCTCAGTGGCGAGCGGTGATTGGTTGCACCTATTGTGAAGAAGGTGCAGCAGAGGGATGACTAGCTAGCAAGGACATCACCCTCTCACGCGCTGCTCACTCCCCGTATTCTCCGCTCACTTAAAGATTTGCCCCGCCTTCTTCCCGCCCACCACTCTCCCCTCCTCCAACCATCGCTTGTTCACATACCCTGTTCTAATACTCGGCCCACAACTCTCTTTACATTTTTGTCCACACCCCATCCGCCTTGCTCCATGATCCATGCTCCATCTTTCATGCTCCGTATTCCATCTTCCGCATTCTGTATTTCACATTTTTCCACCCACCTGCCTACCCCACCCTTCCCCCTCTCAGCCTCTTCTCTACAGGAGAGGCCTCCTTGCCGTCCGACTACCTCTGGCTCATATCGCGCGCCCGCTACCGAGCACCCGAGCTCAAGTACGACATGGGGGCTACCACTCCTGTCCGCCGCCACCCTCCTTTCAACCACCTCAGCTCCAACCCTTGTTCCACACATATCTTTCCGTTTCTGTCCACGACCCATGTTCCTTGTTCCTTGCTCTTTGTGCCAGCCTCTTCTCCTCTACGGGAGAGGCGTCTCTCCCCTCCGACTACCTGTGGCTCATGGCACGAGCGCGCTACCAAGCACCCATACTGGAGTACTGTGGGGGCACTGAGATCGCCGGGGCCTTTCTCACTGGCACCTTGCTGCAGCCCCAGGCGCTCTCCTGCTTCAGCACCCCTGCCATGGGGTGCAGAGCGGTGCTGCTGGGTGCAGAGGGGGACGGGGGTGGGGGAGTGGATGGGGGCAGTGGTGGGGGGGCGAGAGTGGTGGATCCTGGGGAGTGGAGGAAGGGGGGTGGTAGTGGGGCGGGTGGAATGGAGGGCGATGATTGGCTGATGGGGGAGTGCGCGCTCATGCCTCGCATGCTGGGAGCTTCGTGGAAGCTTCTGAACGCGGATCACTACAGGGTGTACTTTGAAGGCATGCCGGAGTTTCACGGCCAGGTGCCTTTCTACCCACCCCTGCGAGATCCTTTTCCACATGCCGTTCAACCAACCAATCAAGTGCCTTTCAACCCCAGGCGTGACTGGTCATGAAGAAGAGCATTAGTATGCTAGGTCGCTTCAACCAGGTGCCTTTAGCCACCCAACCAGGTGCCTTTAGCCACCCAACCAGGTGCCTTTAGCCACCCAACCAGGTGCCTTTAGCCACCCAACCAGGTGCCTCCCCACCCCAACCAGGTTTCAAGGCCGGGTGCTTGTCCTGCCTCCACTACTGCTTCTGTGGGCCACTGGATTTTCTGTCAGCAGTATGTTCTCATCACCCCATCCCCACATCACCCCATCCCCACATCACCCCATCCCCACATCACCCCATGCCCACACCATCCCATGCCCCCACCACCCCATGGACACCACCTGCCCCTCCCTGCTTCCCCCAGCGGCTGCGGCGGCATGGGGACGCGGTGGAGTGGGGGGTGGGGGGCTACTGGCGCGCACACGGGCGCACCGACGACACCATGAACCTGGGCGGCGTCAAGGTGGGCCGCTGGGGCTGTGAAGGGGGGGAGGTGACGCTGTGGGGGACACGATGTGGGCATCAAGGCTCAAATCCGTACTGTGAGCCGACTGAGCCCTTTCAACTGTTCCGTTCTTTCAACTCTGCCGTTCTTTCAACTGTGCCGTTCTTTCAACTGTGCCGTTCTTTCAACTGTGCTGTTCTTTCAACTGTGCCGTTCTTTCAACTGTGCCGTTCTTTCAACTGTGCCATTCTTTCAACTGTGCCATTCTTTCAACTGTGCCCTGTCCTTTCCCTGCCGTCCACCCTCCCAGTGCTCTCGCCTCCTCCACACTTTCTCCTGTTCTCGCGTGCCGCCTGACTTGGATAGCATGCCCACCACACACCTTCCTCCCTCCCACTCCCATCCTCCCTGTCAGTGCCATTCCATCGCCTGCCAATGGCTGCTATCGCCCCTGTAGTCCAGCAAGTGGGCTACTTTTTCCAGCAGACCCTCACGCCACCTTCCTTCGTTGGTCCCCATCCCACCACACGCTGACTGCAATCCCAATCCCATCCCACCTGACTGACAGGTAGGGTCGGTGGAGGTGGAGCGGGTGTGCAACACGGCTCAACCTGATTGACTCCTTGCTTGCACGATTGGTTGTCCCCCATCCCTTCCCTTCCCATCTCATCCCATTCCCCATCCCAATCCCATCCCACGGGACAGGTAGGGTCAGTGGAGGTGGAGCGGGTGTGCAACACAGCACACCCTGCCGTGTCAGAGACTGCAGCCATTGGCGTCGCACCACGTGGTGGCGGGCCAGAGGAGCTGGTGGTGGTGGCAGTGATGCGAGGAGGGGGAGTGGTGGGGGAGAAGGGAGAGAGGAGTGGAGGGGTGGATGGGGCGGAGAGGAGCGTGGTGTCGGAGGATGATCTGAGGAAGGTGTTTTCTGCTGCTCTCCAGGCCCATCTGAACCCGCTCTTCAAGGTGTCATGCTCACTCTGTATAGGTGGTCTCACCCAATGCACTCCGCTTATCTGTTGCCAGGACTCCCCTCTCTTCACGTGCCCATACATGCCCATATGGTACATGCCCATACATGCCCATACGGTACATGCCCATACATGCCCATACATGCCCAGACATGCACATACATGCCCATACATGCCCATACATGCCCGTACATGCCCGTACAGGCCCGTACAGGCCCGTACATGCCCGCACATGCCCGCACATGCCCGTACATGCCCGTACATGCCCGTACATGCCCGTACATGCCCGTACATGCCCGTACATGCCCGTACATACCCATACATGCCCATACATGCCCATACATGCCCATACATGCCCATACATGCCCAGATGCGACTGCACCTGGCCACACGTCCTCTCACACACATCCTCTTAACATAGTTCTGCACATGTGTGTGCTCGGGCACACACACACAACACACACACACACACACACACACACACACACACACACACACACACACATGCACGCACGCACGCACGCACGCACGCACGCACGCACGCACGCACGCACGCACGCACATGCCACATGCAAGCTCGGGTACCACACCCCGTGGGCATGCCATCAGATACATCACATAACCACCCTTTCTCCATCTGCCTTCCATCCCCACAGGTGGCAGCAGTGTGGGTGGTGCCATCGCTCCCCCGCAATGCATCCAACAAGGTCATGCGCCGCGTGCTGCGAGACCTCTTCACCCGCCGCCACCTCGCCGTGCCTTCCACCACCACACCTCCCACTCGGAGGCTTGTTGGAACCACGGGCTGCGCTACCTCCCGCCTTTAGCTCTGTTGTGTGCATAAAAGTACATCCATCCTCGTCACACGAATACGCTGTATATTCTGTAAAATATGTTGGTGTGCTTGTTCTAGCTATCTCTCCTGCCCTTCATGCACTTGCCAACAAGGCTTACAGGTAATTTTACTATCACCCTGACTAAGAGTCAGCCACTTCCGCTGCCATCTCCATGCGATCAACCCGAGGCTGATCCTGGATAAATCCCTTTTGGGATTGTAACAATGCCTTCGTTCAAATTATTTTGCTTCAATAGTGCAATTCTCGCTCGCTAAATTGGCACTCGTAAGATCACCTAACTGAATAAAGAACGATACTTACGGTATATGCATTACTTTTTCCAATGCACATCAATGAGTTGAACTCTTTGCTTTGGGGTTTCGAGGGGGCACGATTTGGTGTGACTTGCAATCCGAAGCCGCAGGCATATGCCTGTACTGCAGAACACCGCCATTTGACAGCTTGGTTGGAGCAGTCGGCCCGACATTTGGCACCTTGGGTGGAGCAGTCGGCCCGACATTTGGCAGCGTGGTTGGCACAGTCGGCCCGATCGCTTGTTGAAAGATGCAACGTCGCCCACGCACCATTTGCCTATCTCTGTGGGCTGAGGAATTGTCTGTACCACCTGTCGGCAGAACCTGCCCGACAGTTGCAACGTTCGATCCACATCCCAAACCAAGTTCTTCCCCAGTTGAAACTGAGAGGATGCAATCCTCACTCCTGCTTAGGCCTGAAGTTTAGGACCAAAATGGCGGGCGAGAAGGCGGGTACGAAAGGACAAACGACGGTTAACGACACTGGCTCGCCGTGACAGCTCATACACTTGCGCCGCTTGCAAATGCGACGAGGATCGTCCTCATCATAGCGGTTGCATACTGTTCTGGGGAAGCTCCATCCTTGGATAGCTTGTCTGTGGGGGTTATGGAGAAAAGATCTTGCTTCGGCCCCAATTCGTGTACAGTGGGAAGTGGCCAATACACATGATGCCCAGCCACTGCGCGCGAATTTGCTTTCAATATTTCAGAAACTCTGCGCCCGTGCCTTTTCTCCCAGTCAGTTGCACCCAGGGTACAGGCACGTGGATCTACCGCATTTGGGCGAGAACACGCCAAAGTATGAATTTTGGGCGCAAAACAAACCATGCTGACCCGGTTTGTTTTTGTTTCTTGGCCAGAAACAAGCATTAACCCTAAACCCCGAACTAAGAACAACACAGGCCCACCAGCACTGTTTTCGTAAAAAATAGACGGATTACAACCTGTGTTTTTTGAAAGCACCTCAACACCCTGACGAAATCGAACGAACGGGGCGAAGTCATGAAAACATTTATAAGCCTAAAGCACAACTCAAGTAGGGGAGAGTCAAACAAAAAATCAAGTGTATTAAGAATCGATGGTGCAAGATCAACTACTGTACACGTCGAGAATAGATTCCATCTGGAATTACTTTTGTTTTTTCGACTGTACTTTCCGGTCCGCCTGAACTCGCTCGAGACATTCTGCCTTCAACGAGTTTCCTCCGCTGATCGTTAGTACATATGCCATTCAGGAACGTCATGAGTGCGTTGATCCAATGAGATGGGGCTGCATCCAAGCGGATCGAACAACCCCGAATTTGCGAGTGCAATATGGACCTCAACCCTGTACTGATTGCTAGATCAGAACTGGAACATCTATGGAGTTTGTAGGGGTACACCCTGTTTCTCGACCCTCTCACCTTGCGCGATTCGCTGCTACAGTGCGGTCAGGTGCCATAAACCGTATGGCTGAAACCTGCGGGCAAAGCCGCACCAGCTGACGGAGTGGTACTGGGGGCAAATTTTTTCTTTATCGCTGTATACCCTTTCAACCGCTTTGAAATGCTTGGTTAATGTTCTTTACCATGCAGCATCCTAGCTAACCGCTTTCTTGTGAATGTGCTTGTACCGTCGGTGATAAGACCATTTCAAACGTGGTGACGTTCTACAACCTGTGCATGTTCTGCAACCAGATGCTCTGCTAGCGCGAAACAGGGTGTACATCCGCAGTGTGTAGATTTTAGCTTACACAGCGTAACCACAGGCAGTGGGGGGCCTTGGGGTAACAGAGGGGCATGTACCTGTTCCTGCTGTACCTGAGGACACGAGACGCGCTTTCCAGCTCACAAAACCAGATGCTAAACCTCCCTTCGTTTTCTCGTAGTAGAGTATAGCCGCTTGATAAATTATCGCCTTACTGTATGAATAATCCAACCATGCTGCACCGCACAGCTTGGAGATTTGGTGTTGACATCTCAAGCCAACACCATCTTCTCTTAGCATCAGGCGCTAGGCCCCACAGACACATCAACGCCTCCACTCCCACCACGCATTCCGTTTGGCACCTCAGGTCCAGACTCCAGAAGCTGAGTCCAATGCAGACCATCACAGCACCCCGTGTCACCACCGCTACTACTGGCTGCTACTGTAAACATTTCCGGGGCAGACTGATTCTCTTGCACCTTTGAACCCGCCTCGCGTGGACCGGAATGTTCTCGCTGGCCTAGCGTTGAAATACCTGCATTGTCGTCGACTCACACCAAGAACGTCTTACAAACTACTCGACTTGTAATAGACGATACTGCGAAGCTACGCTCCGTACTACGCACAATCAAGCGCAACAACCATGGCGCTCGCAGGCTCCGCCATTGCTTCTGGCCAGAAGCGAGGTCGAGAGGTATCGCCGGCCTTGCCGAGCCCCTTAGCAGCCTTAGCCGCCGGTGACGTTCTGCGCGAGCAGCTTCAGCGACTGCTCGTCGCGCGCCTGCAGCAGCAGTATCAGCGGATACAAGCGGTCCAAGCAACTCAAGCGGCCCAAGCAGCCCAAGCGCCCGCGTTACTCGAGTCAACCACTTTCGCCTCAAGCGCGGCAGAGCCGCTGCTCGTGAGCCAGCCTAACCTGACCAAGAGGCAGCGATTAGAGTCGTACCTGTCGTCCTTCGTCCTGCCAGCACCAGATTCACCAGCGAAGCACGGCGCTCCCGTCGTTCCGTGCACCCTTGCTAACGCCGGCGCTCAAGGCCGACATTGCGGCTGCGAATTGGCGGCTTCGGTCGGCGCCGGCGCGTCCACTAGTAGCCTGCGTCAGTCTTTCTACGTCGATGCGTGTGCGCCCAGCGAGCTCGTGCGACGATCGTCGTCATCGCTGATGGCGTCGGAAGGAAGCCTCGCAATCAACGACGCCGCGAACACGGCGATAGGGTTACCGCAGTGGCAGTGGTCGCATGCGTCCCGCGTTCCGTCGCAAGCTCCTTCGTGCGGCGTCGATGTGCGGCAGGGGACGAATCAGCCGCAAGTTCGTGTGCTTTTGGAACAATTGCTGCGGAGGCAGCAGGAGGCGCAGCAACAACACCAAGCGGTGGCACAGGAGCGATATGTCACGCAGAGCCAGCAAGCCTGGGGTTGCAGTGGTATTGAGAGTCACGCTTACGCCCCCGTCGCAAGACAGTCGCCTTCCGTCGCAGAGTCGCAACACGAACACATCGCGGCGGCGTTGCACGCTAAGGTGCAGTTGGCTGTGGACGAGGCGTCTGCGAGCAGGCGAGCAATCGCGGCTCTCGAGGCGAAAGTCGCCATCCTATCAGGCGAGCTCGTTCTGTCGCAAAGAAAGCTAGCAGATTCTCGGTCGCAGAGCGCCGCACTAGAAGCGAGCCTTGCGAGGTCCCAGTTGGCGCTGGTGCAAGCGACGACTGGGGAGGGCTATGGCGACAGCGAGGAGGTGATAGCATGGAACCGTCCTGACCAGCCTTGCGCTTCGTCGTGCCATTAGCTCACCAACGCAAGAGAGCCTTCGGGTTTATATCATATAGCACTAGGTTCTTCATATTCGCATCGCGATCTCTACACAGATCATTCATACAAGTATTGTACAGCCTAATAGTAAAGGTCCGAGTTTCCACTGCAACCCCAGTCTTCCTACGTCCTTGCTGGTCCAAGCTCAGAGATTACCTCAACGGGCCTTGCACTCGCATGGGCCGCAGGCAGAAACCCGTCCTGGCTGCACCCGCCGCCGTCAAATTGACTCACGCACTTCACTCCTTGGCCAATCGGATCGCCAGTCGGATTCGTCGACATTAGTGACGTCGCAAACGGCACCCCCGCGCTGCTTAGCGTGCCGAGCGCCCCTCCTGTGCTCGCCGCAACAGCTCCCAGCCCACCGTACCCGCCATACCCGGCCCCTCCGCCGCCTAGGGCCGTGATAGTATTGGTCGCTGACGTGGACCCGAATTGGTACGTGGGCGTGATGCCATTGGTCGTCGCCGTCTGCGACTGCGTGTTGGTCTGGTACGCCGTCGCGCCCCGCCGCTGGTACTGCGAGTAAGGCGTCGCGATGACACCGGGAGTTCCAGGCCCGGTTTTGGTGGCATCCGCGGTTTGGTCGTTGACTGTGTTCTGGTTGTTGATGCTGCCGATGTTGCCGCTCTGCGCGTATGCACCCATGCCCGCATTTGGTCCCACCTGCTTGCGGCTGGTCGCGCTGCTGCTGTCAAACACGTGCGTGACCACTTGGAGGGCTGCGGCGATCCGCATGGACTCGAATTTTCCTGCAGGGAGGATGATCCAGAAGGGAGCGTTCTTTGTGTACAATGACCACCTAAGAAAAACGTCATTGTGGTGGTAGCAAACCAAATGCGTGCTTCATATGTTTACAAGAATAAAACTTACTTCCTGCATCGGCATGGTGCTCAAGCAGCCGTCTGCCGAGCAGACTAAGTCCAGGAATACCGAAGGACGGAACGGCTGTGTTGAACTGACTCTGCGCGTTTCGCGAAAGGTCCAGGTTACCAGAGTTGCCCCTCTCGCCGTTACTTACGAGTCCCAGGGCTGCTGCTGTAGAAAACATCTCCGCCTGCATCTCACGCAGCAGTGCGGGAGCAGCACCAGGGAGGTAGGTCCAGTAGTTGAAGGCCTGTTTTCTGTTGAATGTAAAATGGGATTGAAAGCAAATTACTAGCGGTAGTAGCGTTGTACCGTATGTTGTTTTATCTAGTAGTGTCTATTCGGACGAGGTTAGTAAATGATGAATGCATGACGTAATGTGCCAAAAGGAAGGCTTCGTAGCAGAAAAGCGTACCTAGAGGTAGGAGAGAAGATGACACAAGGCGCGCTGACGCCCGACAGCCATTGCCAGCGCCTAGCAATTCCAACTGCAGTGACTGGGGCAGTTCTTGATGGCCATGGTCTGGCCGCAGCAGAGCAATGATCTGCCACCGAGGCTGCGTAGACTAGCACAGGTAGTACCCATAGCATAAGTTTACTGAATATTGGACGCGCCGTCATGCTGAAGCCCTTACAGTCCTCGTTTTTAGCTCAGCAACCTAGTCAGAATGTGCTAGACGAAGAGAATATATGCCCCCAGAGAATGAGGCTATGGATGGACAGATGACGGAGCTTACGAAACAAGAATTTGCAGTTGTTTCGCCCGAGCTTAAATTCCGAAAATGTGCACTGGTTCTGGAAATTGACGAGCCGCGAAGACCGTGCGCTTCGAGGAGACTTTCATTTTGAGCTTGACGAAGATTTGAGGCGGAGAGCATCGCTACAGTCAAACTGGAAAATGTGCAGCCACGAGGCGTTTATCTCCTAGTTTACACACATATAAATAATTCGGAGTGGTATATTGAGCAAGCAGCCACGCAAGATGCAGTGCATGCCTATCCAGCTCCTACTGCATAATGACAGTCCATTGTCCAGCCAACAAACATCCACTAGACTTCCAAACAAAGTGTACCCAAGAGCACATGATCAGGCCAGAACCGGTATGTTAAAACAGACCTCATAACTAGAGCATCACGGGCCTGGCCCGGCACAGAGTTGCATGTAATAAGTTTTTTCAGACTGCGAGGGCAGAGGTGAGCGTAGAGGCGAAATTCTGTGCCATGGTCTGTGCTGCAAACTGTTGGATCTGCTTCTTGGCATCTGTGCATGTTCATGCATAACCACACACAAACACAGAACATGCATATGAGCATGCACATACGCATGCATATCGGACATACCATACCATGCAGAAGCAATTGAAATAAATACACACTTAGACATGCGCATAAAAATTGGTAACATACTCGCACATGCATGATCGAGCCAGCAGATACAGCAAGGGGAAGAGCATTTGCAGGTGGGGGGGACGGGTGCGCAGGGGTGGGGGGAGCAGGGGTGGGGAACGTATCGGCGGGGGCCCACCTCGGCGGCACTTGGTGTAGCCGTAGATGTTGGCAGCGCCGAGCACAAGAGCCACGATGATGATGAGCAGATAGTCAAAGCTCAGCCGGATGACCTGGATGAGCCCCAGCCCCAGCCATAACGCTGGCTGCTCATGTGCATGCAGGCGGGCATGCAGGAGGGCATGCAGGCGGGCATGCAAGAGGGCATGCAGGCGGGCATGCAGGAGGGCATGCAGGCGGGCATGCAGGAGGGTAGGCAGGAGGGCAGGCAGGCAGTCACATGCGTGTTACATGCACATGTTGCCAGAACAGAGAAATGGGCCCGCACACACATAACCAAACACATGCATCCATGCACTCACACGCGCACACGGTGGGATATGCACACACACATGCGTGCATGCATAGACCATGCAGAACGACATGCACACACACATGGGGTCACCAAGGGTAGGAATAGAAAAGGCCCAGGATGACACTGTCGAAAATTGTCAAGGTGGATTCCGAATGGGCTCAAAAAAATTCAAGGTGAATTACCGCACTATCATACTGTGCAGTAAAGGATCGTCCTACCATGTTACCGTATTGGCGGTAAGAGCTGTGTTACCACATTACCGTACTGTGCAGTGAAAGCTGTGTTACCACATTACCGTACCGTGCAATAGAGTGTCCACCAGAAGACCCATGCGTCCGTCTTGCTCAGCTGGTCCAATGACTGCAGAGAGAGAATGGGAGGAGAGGGTGGAGAGGGAGGAGAGGGGTGAGGGGGAGGAGAGGGAGGGAGGGGAGGAGAGGGATGAGAGGGATGTGAGGAAAGAGAGGGAGAAGAGGGATCAGAGAGAAAAGGGGGGAGAGGGAGGAGAAGGAGGAGGGGAGGAGGAGGAGGAGAGGGAGGTGAGGAATGAGAGGGAGGAGAGGGAGGAGGGGAGGGATGAGAGAGAGAGAATGGAAGAGAGATAAATTTGAAGTGAGGAGAGGGAGAGATATAGCGAGGAGAGGAAATTAAAGAGTGAAGACAGCAGAACATACAGCGAGTGAGGAGAGAAACAAGCAGTACAGAGAGCTTGAGCAGAGCGTCTCCCTCACAACATCCAACACCCTGCCCTGCACCACGCCCCGCCGTACCCCACCACCCTCCACCATCTTCTACCACCTTCCACCGCACTCCACTCACGGCCTGGTCGAGCGACTCAAAGTGCCAGAGCGTCTCCCCGGCCTCGTCGGTCTCGTTCCACCAGCGCAGCCCCACGAGGATGCGGCCGCTCACGTTCTTCACCACCCAGAAGTCGAGCGCGATGAGCAGCACGCACACCACGAAGTCAATCACAAAGCTGCTCGTGAACCAGCTGCCCAGCAGGTAGAAGCCAAGAGCTGCCGCCTGTGGGTGGGGAGGAAGACGGGTTGTGTGGGGATTGGATGAGATGAGGGAGGTGCGGTGGAGGTGGGATGAGAAGTCGAGAGCAATGAGCAGCACGCACACCACCAAGTCAATCACAAAGCTGCTCGTGAATCAGCTGCCCAGCATGTAGAACCCCAATGCGGCTGCCTGTGGGGTAGAGGGGTGGAGAGCGGTGTGGGGATGAGATGAGGGGGTGCTGGTGCCTGGCGAGAAGAGGAAGTCACGAGCGATGAGAGGCCCGGCATGTGGAACCCCAGCACTGCCGCCTGTGGAACCCCAGCACTGCCGCCTGTGGAACCCCAGCACTTCCGCCTGTGGAACCCCAGCACTGCCGCCTGTGGAACCCCAGCACTGCCGCCTGTGGAACCCCAGCACTGCCGCCTGTGGAACCCCAGCACTGCCGCCTGTGGAACCCCAGCACTGCCGCCTGTGGAACCCCAGCACTGCCGCCTGTGCAACCCCAGCACTGCCGCCTGTGCAACCCCAGCACTGCCGCCTGTGCAACCCCAGCACTGCCGCCTGTGCAACCCCAGCACTGCCGCCGGTGCGTTGTGGGAAGGAATGGGAGGGGGGGCGGTGAGTCGACTCTAAAGTAGGAAAGGGGTATATGACGACCCAGAATATAGGAAGCAGGGGCATGGGTGGACTTGTCACCCGGCTGCCCAGCCGGGAATGCTGGTGGCGACTGCGGGAATAGGAGATAGGAAAGCATGGCGAGAGCGGTGAGGAATGGAATGAAGATGGGATTAGGGGCGGCGATAGAGAGAAGAGTCGGATGTGGTGTGTGGTGTGTGGTGTGTGGTGTGTGGTGTGTGGTGTATGATTATGTGATGCGAGGAAGTGGCATGCACATTAAGGCAAGTGTGCATCTATGCATAGCGTGAGTGAGGGTATGTATGTGTGTGTGGACTTGCACACAGTGTGAGTGAGGGTATGTATGTGTGTGTGGACTTGCACACAGTGTGAGTGAGTGGGTGAGCGCACGACATTGAAGAAGCAGGTGATGTGAGGATGTGGTGTGCAGTGTGAGAGTGAGCGAGTGTGAGTGCATGACGGAAGTATGCATGTGTGAGTGAGTGAGTGAGTGCATGAAGCATGCATGCATGTGGGAGCGAGCGCGCGCCTGACCTTGAAGAAGCAGGTGAAGAAGACCACCTGCGGATGGGCGTACTTGGGTCCTTCTGCCTGCTCACATGGACACGGAGAGAGAGAGGAAGCGGGATGGGCAGCAAGGAGGCGTCAGAGGCAAAACACCGCCTCCACGAAGGCCGACCGGACAATGTAGGCTTCTTTGCGTTGGCGGTTGAGACGTATGGGGAACTTTGGGTTTTCTTCCCCGACAGTTCACGAGGCCAGCAGAATGATATTCATAAGGGCGCCTTCACATTCCACCCCCTTCCCACCTGTCCCCTTCCCACCTGTCCCCTTCCCACCTGTCCCCTTCCCACCTGCCCCCTTCCCACCTGTCCCCTTCCCACCTGTCCCCTTCCCACCTGTTCCCCTTCCCACCTGTCCCCTTCCCACCTGTCCCTTCCCACCTGTCCCTTCCACCTGTCCCTTCCCACCTTCCCCCTTCCACCTGTCCCCTTCCCACCTGTCCCCTTCCCACCTGTCCCCTTCCCACCTGTCCCTTCCCACCTGTCCCCTTCCCACCTGTCCCCTTCCCACCTGTCCCTTCCCACCTGTCCCCTTCCCACCTGTCCCCTTCCCACCTGGTCCCCTTCCCACCTGTCCCTTCCCACCTGTCCCCTTCCCACCTGTCCCCTTCCCACCTGTCCCCTTCCCACCTGTCCCCTTCCCACCTGTCCCCTTCCCACCTGTCCCCTTCCCACCTGTCCCCTTCCCACCTGTCCCCTTCCCACCTGTCCCCTTCCCACCTGTCCCTTCCCACCTGTCCCCTTCCACCTGTCCCCTTCCCACCTGTCCCCTTCCCACCTGTCCCCTTCCCACCTGTCCCCTTCCCACCTGTCCCCTTCCCACCTGTCCCCTTCCCACCTGTCCCCTTCCCACCTGTCCCCTTCCCACCTGTCCCCTTCCCACCTGTCCCCTTCCCACCTGTCCCCTTCCCACCTGTCCCCTTCCCACCTGTCCCCTTCCCACCTGTCCCTTCCCCACCTGTCCCCTTCCCACCTGTCCCCTTCCCACCTGTCCCCTTCCCACCTGTCCCCTTCCCACCTGTCCCCTTCCCACCTGTCCCCTTCCCACCTGTCCCCTTCCCACCTGTCCCCTTCCCACCTGTCCCCTTCCCACCTGTCCCCTTCCCACCTGTCCCCTTCCCACCTGTCCCCTTCCCACCTGTCCCCTTCCCACCTGTCCCCTTCCCACCTGTCCCCTTCCCACCTGTCCCCTTCCCACCTGTCCCCTTCCCACCTGTCCCCTTCCCACCTGTCCCCTTCCCACCTGTCCCCTTCCCACCTGTCCCCTTCCCACCTGTCCCCTTCCCACCTGTCCCCTTCCCACCTGTCCCCTTCCCACCTGTCCCCTTCCCACCTGTCCCCTTCCCACCTGTCCCCTTCCCACCTGTCCCCTTCCCACCTGTCCCCTTCCCACCTGTCCCCTTCCCACCTGTCCCCTTCCCACCTGTCCCCTTCCCACCTGTCCCCTTCCCACCTGTCCCCTTCCCACCTGTCCCCTTCCCACCTGTCCCCTTCCCACCTGTCCCCTTCCCACCTGTCCCCTTCCCACCTGTCCCCTTCCCACCTGTCCCCTTCCCACCTGTCCCCTTCCCACCTGTCCCCTTCCCACCTGTCCCCTTCCCACCTGTCCCCTTCCCACCTGTCCCCTTCCCACCTGTCCCCTTCCCACCTGTCCCCTTCCCACCTGTCCCCTTCCCACCTGTCCCCTTCCCACCTGTCCCCTTCCCACCTGTCCCCTTCCCACCTGTCCCCTTCCCACCTGTCCCCTTCCCACCTGTCCACTTCCCACCTGTCCCCTTCCCACCTGTCCCCTTCCCACCTGTCCCCTTCCCACCTGTCCCCTTCCCACCTGTCCCCTTCCCACCTGTCCCCTTCCCACCTGTCCCCTTCCCACCTGTCCCCTTCCCACCTGTCCCCTTCCCACCTGTCCACTTCCCACCTGTCCCCTTCCCACCTGTCCCCTTCCCACCTGTCCCCTTCCCACCTGTCCACTTCCCACCTGTCCCCTTCCCACCTGTCCCCTTCCCACCTGTCCCCTTCCCACCTGTCCCCTTCCCACCTGTCCCCTTCCCACCTGTCCCCTTCCCACCTGTCCCGTGATGGTAGGCCATGACGCTGACTCACCCCTACCCCATTCGCCCAAATCCAGTGCAGCATGTTACATGCAATGCAACCACAGAGTGCCGCACCTGAGGCTGCATGCTGTCTGTGCCGCGTGTGGCGCCAAACCACACCACACGTCGTTTGAGTCAACTCAAAAGTCGAATGCACTCAAGTGACCTCCCACCCACGAGCCGTGCACTGCCCCTCTTGCTGGAGGCAGGATGAAGAGAAGGGGGGAGGGAGTGGTGGAGACCGAGTGGGGGAGAGAGAGTAGGGGAAGTTAGGGGGGGGAGTTTAACGCTATGGCGCTTGGTGGACACGTGGCTGGCCCTGACACGTGGCTGGCCCTTACACGTGACTGGCCCTGACACGTGGCTCACCCTGACACGTGGCTGGCCCTGACACGTGGCTCACCCTGAACCTGCCCCCACCAAGGGTGCTGCTGAAGGCGGCACCACGACACGGATAGGTGAAGGGACAACCGACGGGGAGAGGAGTGCGGGGTTGAGGGGGAGGCGCAGAGCGGAGGGGAAAGGGAAGTAGGGAGGGAAGGCAGGAGGGGGAAGAAGAGGCCGGCAGGGACGGGCGGGTGGCGAGCGGCAGGTGGCGAGCGGCAGGTGGCGAGCGGCAGGTGGCGAGCGGCGGGACGAAAAAGCATCCGAGAAGCGCGGCAGGAGGAAGGCATGGGGCGGTCCCACAGAGGGGGTAGGCAGAGAGGAGTTGCGGGGCACGGATGGGAGGGAGGAAAAAGTAGAGAAGAAACGACGAAGAAAAGGTGGGAAGGTAGGGGAAGGAATGAGGAGGAGCGGTGGGAGAGAACGGCGCAGGGGGGAGCGAAGGCAAGGGGGGGAAGGCGATGAACAAGAGAGGCGAGGGCGCGGAGAGAGGAAGGCGCGGAGAGATGAGGGCGCGGAGAGATGAGGGCGCGGAGAGATGAGGGCGCGGAGAGATGAGGGCGCGGAGAGATGAGGGCGCGGAGAGAGCGCGGGGAGGGCGCGGAGAGGCGAGTGCGCGGAGAGGGGCGGAGGGGGAACACGGGACTTACAAGCAGCTACACGTCGCAGGAGGTGCGTGCGATCGAGGTGTGTCGAGGTGCGCGATGGCGACCGTGGTGACCAGATCACGGCAGGTGCGGCTTAGGCAAGCGGGAATACCGTGAAGAGAAATAGGCAAAGGGAGTTGTGTCTCACAGCACACAGCGGACAGTCCCGCCTGGCGAGTGGTAGAATTTGGTGGATGCAGAGATCTGACACCAAAAAGAAAATCTGGTCTGGAGAGGTTGTACAGGCTAAATCTGCGAATCATAGTAAGTGTAAGGAATTTCAACCCCATCTATAGAAAGACCTTGGCGGGGATTTTCCGAGCGTATCACGTCAGGTAGGTTCATCCTACGTTTTTGCCCCGAACCACTTCCGTGTCGCCACCGCACAAATCGCCACCTGTCCGAGCCTCTTTTACCCCGAGGTCCTCGCCTAGTTTGAACCTACCTTTATTTTCCTCGTTTTAGGCATTTCGTAGGACACTACAAGTTTGGAATCTCATAGTAGTTTGATGGCGAGCAAAACCTTATCTTGGCGGAAGTGGTGCGGAATTGCAGAGGTGAATGCCACTCCCCCAGGAATCGTGACACTACAGGAATGCCATGATGGCACGGCGACTGTCGCCGTCGACTTCCGCCAGCCCGCGGCTGCTGCTCGCCCGTTGCCTCGCGCCGTTCTTCCTCGCGTCCGCGCTTCTAGTAGTCCTCGTGCTTTCGCCGCACGCCGGCGCCAGTGCGGCGGAGGGGCAGCGGACGTTTCGCGAACACGGCGACTTGCCCCAGTCGCACGGGTCGCACGGTGAACGAAACGGGCGTCGCGTCAGCCTCGCCGAGATTGTTTCTCCGCGCGCATCCGCCGCTGGAGCAATTCTCGCGGACAATCAGCGTAATTTCCTCTGAGCCTCCCGAGAGGCGCTCTTGCCACGCCCTCAACGGGAGACGCACGGCCGACAGTGGATAGGCGAGCGCGCCCCCGCTCGCTCCTCCCACCCTTCGCCATGCCGCTCACTCTGCTATGCGTTGCTTCCGCCTGCCTGCCTGCCACCTGCCGCCTGCCTGCCGCCGCAGCGCTGCATCTCAAGCGCTGCTTGCTTGAGACCAGTCTACCTCAATGCCTCCCCTCTCAATGCCTCCCCCCTCAATGCCTCTCCCCTCAATGCCTCTCCCCTCAATGCCTCTCCCCTCAATGCCTCTCCCCTCAATGCCTCTCCCCTCAATGCCTCTCCCCTCTATGCCTCTCCCCTCAATGCCTCTCCCCTCAATGCCTCTCCCCTCAATGCCTCTCCCCTCAATGCCTCTCCCCTCAATTCCTCTCCCCTCAATGCCTCTCCCCTCAATGCCTCGCCCCTCAATGCCTCTCCCCTCAATGCCTCCCCCCTCAATGCCTCTCCCCTCAATGCCTCTCCCCTCAATGCCTCTCCCCTCAATGCCTCTCCCCTCAATGCCTCTCCCCTCAATGCCTCTCCCCTCAATGCCTCTCCCCTCAATGCCTCTCCCCTCAATGCCTCTCCCCTCAATGCCTCTCCCCTCAATGCCTCTCCCCTCAATGCCTCTCCCCTCAATGCCTCTCCCCTCAATGCCTCTCCCCTCAATGCCTCTCCCCTCAATGCCTCTCCCCTCAATGCCTCTCCCCTCAATGCCTCTCCCCTCAATGCCTCTCCCCTCAATGCCTCTCCCCTCAATGCCTCTCCCCTCAATGCCTCCCCCCTCAATGCCTCTCCCCTCAATGCCTCTCCCCTCAATGCCTCTCCCCTCAATGCCTCTCCCCTCAATGCCTCTCCCCTCAATGCCTCTCCCCTCAATGCCTCGTCCCTCAATGCCTCTCTCCCCGCCACACTAAGCCCGCTGAGGCCGTCACAGTTCCAGCACGTCTCTGACTCTCGCGCGACAATTCCCCAACCCGCGAATCTGTCTGTGCTTCCACCCAAGCCGTGCATGCTCCTCCCGCCCATCTTTCCTGCCTCCCTGTTTGCCTGCTTGCACTTCATGGGACCATTGTGTGCTGGGTGCGTGCATGCACGTCCATCATATGAGTGCATGTGTGCATGCGTGCATGCGCATGGGTGCATGTGTGCATGCGGGCATGGGTCCATGGGGGCATGAGTACGTGCGTGTGTGGGTGCATGGGTGCATGTGGACAACGGTGCATGCATGCCTCCGCGTATTGCATGGATGCATGGCATGGGTGCATGCATGTGTGCATGGGTGCATACATGTGTGCACGGATGCATGCTTGTGTGCATGGGTGCATGCATGCACGAGTGCATACGTGCATGCGCCATGGCACCAGTGCAAGCACTGGTGGAGCTGAACGCAGCATGGCAGGTGTGGGAGGGGAAGAACAATGCGTCGCGGGGCTGCAGCGAGTGGGAGTACATCACATGCAACCAGCGCGGCTTCATCACTTCCATGTGCGTTGCTCTGCTGCAAGGCAGTAGAGAGCGAGAGGCGTAGTAGAGAGAGTGGGTTGAGAGGAGAGGTGCTTGTTCTGCTGCAAGGCGGTAGATAGAGGGGGTGTTTGGGAAAATGAGAGGAGATGCAGGCAGGAGGCAGAAGCGTCCGTGCATGTGTGTGTGTGTGTGTGTGTGTGTGTGTGTGTGCGTGAGTGTGTGTGCGTGTGTGTGTGTGCATGCGTACATCTGTGTGCATGCACACGTGGTCACAAAACCTCAATGTTTCATTCTCGTTGCACCAACGCCCCTCCCTCCTCCCGCAGTGACTTGTCCGAGTACGCTATGGTCAATGCCACCATGCCGCTCACCCTCTTCTCGCGCATGCCCTACCTCCGACGCCTGTACGTCTCTGCCGCCCACTTTGTTTGTCTGCACTGCACCGCTGCTTCCCTGTCCTGCCTCCGCCCGAGCCCCCCTTCTGCGTGAAATGAGTGACACGCCTCAAAGCTCACCTGAGCCCCCTATTTGAGAATTCTAAAAAAGCACACGCCCTTTCTGCTTCTGAACCTTTCTCGCTCTTTTCCTGATTCTCTATCTGCAGATTTAGCCTCCTCCCCCCGCTGTCCTCCCCACGTCATGCTAAATACAGTCTATTTCTGAGCCGACTAAAAAATAGTACAGCAAGTTCAGCCAGGGGATCGCTCCCTGCAGCAGCAGCCCCTCTGGTCCTGGATGCACTGGAAACACATATTCCTGTTCCCCCCCTCTCTTTCCCAGCCCTAAGCTTTCAGCGTGAGTTGGCACACCACCCAGGAACCCCATCATGTGTGTGCAGTGCGAAATGGCAAGCAAGCCGTGCTCTTCACTCCACCTGCACCTGCTCTTCACCACCACACCCGCTTCCGCCCCTCCTCCCACCCACCCACCCGGCTCCCACCCTCCTCTCATCTCATCCTCCTCCCACCCGCCCCCCACCCTGTTCCCACCCTCCTCTCATCCTCCTCTCACCCTCCTCCCACCTTCCTCCCACCCTCCTCTCACCCTCCTCCCACCCTCCTCCCACACTCGTCCCCTCCAGTGTGCTTGCAAACAACTACTTTCTCCACGGCTCCATCACCCACCTCGCTCTCCCCACCTCCCTCCGCATGCTGTAAGCATGGCACAGGCGACATGCCTTCCCCACGTCTGCCTTCCCCACGTCTGCCTTCCCCACGTCTGCCTTCCCCACGTCTGCCTTCCCCACGTCTGCATCTGACCACCATGCATTTTCACACCATCACACCTGCCTTCCGTCTATTCATCCCCCCCCCTAGCTTTCTTCAGCCACTGCCTGCCTTCACTACCCCCCTCCCCCAGTTTTCCTTTCCATGTTCCGTACCTCACGTACCCTTCCACCTCCGCCACCTCCCCCCAGGGACTTTTCTTTGACATATGTGTCCGGTTCCCTGCCATCTGCTATCTTCTCGCTCCCAGCTCTTTCACACCTGTACGCCCCTTGTTCACACCTGTACGCCCCTTGTTCACACCTGTACAAGCCTTTGCTGCGAACCTTTGAGGTCCACATCTGTTTTGCATGCGTTTTCTCCGTATCCACATCTGAATAAAAATCTTACATGAATTGCAACGTCATACTTGCTTGCTATATTCACTGTGGGTTACCAGGAAAATCTTGTCCCCCTTCATTTTTCGCCTGCAACCATGTGGCTATTCAATCATTCATTCATTTCCCTGTCCTCATGACGTTTTTTTTGCGATCAGAGATTTTTCTAGGACTTCAATATTTGGAAGCTTGCCATCCACCCTCGGCCGTCTGTCTCGTCTCACATACCTGTCAGTGTTGCGCACATGCATTGGAGGGCTGCAATTATGCACACGCACACATGATGATTATTATGTTTGGTTGCAACTGTTGAGAGATTGATATTGGTGTTTAGTGAGAAGCATTGCAGCCAATCCGGTGCACAAGCTGGTCACACACACATGCGCACAAGCTGGTCACACACACATGCGCACACATGCACACACATGCGCACAAATGCTCACTCATGCACACACATGCGCACACATGCACACACATGCATACACATGCACACATCCCATCCCCCTTTTCACTCAGAGATATCGGTGCAGAGAACATCACCGGGCGTGTGGAGGACTTCTCATGGATCTCAAGCCTCACCAACTTGAACACACTGTATGTCCTGCATTTTATGCGACAATGCAGCAAATGTCATGATGTGAACTAGGGATGAGCAAGGTGGCGAACACCTGTTCGGTTCGCCTCGAACGTGTTCGAGGCGAACCGAACAGGCTTTGTTTTTTAGCTCAAATCGTTCGCCGAACAGTGTTCGATGTTTGCCCGAACACGTTCGTGTTCGGGCTGCTGCTGAAATTTGCCCGCGACGAACACGAACAGTGTTCGAGGTTCGCCCGAACACGCCTCCACAGGCGAACAGCGAACACCTGTTTTTTCCTAAACTGTTCGCCGAACCGAACAGTGTTCGGTTCGGCAAAAGAGGGTGTTCGACAAGGGGCGAAGACGAACATGTTCGTGTTCGCCCTTTGCTCATCCACATTGTGAACTTAGGAAGCATAGCTAGGGACGAAGATCGATCTAGGCTAGGGTAGAAGCGAGGGTGTCGAGAAGCTTGAAATAAGGGGTTTGATTAGAGGCAAGGGGTACAAGATATAGTGAGACAAGAGCAAAGGTACACCACCATACAAAGAGTAGCAGCACTACACAACAGCTACACTAGCAGGCAGATATATAATAAATATATGTTCTAACACAAATCAGCATAAAATCATACCCAACATTACATGACACTGTCAGTCACACTGTCGGTCACTGTCAGTCACTGTCAGTCACTGTCAGTCATTGTCAGTCACTGTCAGTTAGGGATGAGCAGAGGGCGAACTTCGAGTTCGCCCCCCCTCGAACAGGGCCATTTCCCGAACCGAACACTGTTCGGTTCGGCGAACTATTTGGCCTACGGCAGGTGTTCGCCGTTCGCCCCAGGGGGCGAACAATTTGTTTCTAAGGGCAAACTCGAACATGTTCGCCTCGAACATGTTCGAGTTCGCCCTGGGGGGAACTTCGTTATAGTCACAGTGGTCAGACAGGGGATTTGGAGGGTCGGGTAGATAGATAGGGGTGTGGAGGGTGTCTCTGTGTTCATGCAACGCACACAAGCATACGACACCATCATGTTCTATGAATATAAAAGTCAATGTCAAATAAAGTCCTACGCCTGAACTCCACTGCTACTATCAACAACAGCCTGCTCCCCGCCAGCGGTGTCGCCAGCACCCACCCGCTCCTGCTCCTCCTCCCCCTCCTCCTCCCCCTCCTCCTCCCCCTCCTCCTCCTCCTCCTCCTCGTCGTCCTCCTCCTCCCCCTCGCCTTCAATGGCGAACTCTGGCGGTGCGACGCCCTTTGCACGGCGGCCCTCGCCTATCCTCTGTTCAGGGTGTGAACTGTACCATGATTTGAGAATCATGACAGCTCACGTCCTCTGAGAGGCCAGGCGGTGCCGCTTCCAGGAAATGAGGTTGCGGCCGAGGGAGAACACGTGCTCGCTCGAAGCGGACGTGGCAGGGATGGCGAGATAATCCCGGGCCATGCGCCTCAGCGTCTGCATGTTGGTGGCGGTGCGCCAATACTCCAACGCTGACACATCGCACCGCACCCTCTCAGATAAGTACCTGCTAACCTCGTCATCCTGCACCATCCCACCACTCCCCGCCTCCTGGCTCGCTGACAGACGCGCCGCTAGTCGTCGGCGACTCGGGAGAAACTGCGCGTCTTCGTCGTCATCCGCCGCGTCCCCCTCCTCCTCCTCCGTCACAGTGGCAAGTGGGGTCGGCCGAGGTGCAAGCGCTGTAGCCCGGGCCTAGTACTCGGTCACGCGGTCGCGTACCAACTGGATCACCTCGCCCGACGAGGGACGCGGCCTCGCCCTCCGGTCGGTCTCGGGATGCAGCGTCTCCCAGTGCGGGTCGTCGAACCACGCCGCCTTCATGGAAGGGTCCAGGAAGGTGGCGATCCACAACTCGTTGCTGGACATCAGTTCATACTTCTTCACGAGACCCAGCGCCGCCTCAATCATCGGCTTCAGCGTAGCCGATGGCCCCTTGGCAAGGCGCGACTTCATAGCGCCGATCAGGCCGTTGTAGTACGGCACCACCATCGCCACTGTAGGGTACGCCGCACCCTCCGCCGCCTTTGAGACTTTGGCGAATGGGCTGAGGAACGTCTTGACAGCATGCAGAGTCTCCCAGTCTGCGTCCGTCAGGCGCAGGCTATCCACCTTCGCCTTGTTAGCCTTCGACAGGCCCTGTCGGGTAGAGGGTAGGGGTTGGCGGGTGTTAAGATGGAAACTAGGGTTATTGAGGTTGTTGGGGTCCGATAACATACATAAAGCATGGCCAACAGTGGTGGAA